GCGAACCTCGTGGAGGGCAAAGCAACTTCGCCCGACCATTACCCTCCAGACAGCCACCTACAGGTAGGCCTTTAAAATATATATATAAATAAATATTTTTTATATATATATATATATATATATATATAAGATCTGCCTTGCTGCAGACTTACTTTGTCTGTTCATAATGTTTTATTTGAAGAAGCGTTCAGCGTGTTCATATTGAATGGAGCAGAGCGTGTGCTGAGATGACGGGTGGGCAGTAGTGGTTTTGCAGCCATATGGCAGCAGAGGGACCCAGTGGGTGTAGTGAGACTATGGGATACAGATTCACGCCTTCAGCCCCTCTGTTTCATGAATTCAGATTCTTGTAGACCTTCACATGAGTGAAATACCACTCGAGACTTTGAATCTGAGTACTGGAGAGGTAATAGAAAGTCAACTTTCAGAGGAAACAACATTTAGTTCCTGTTCTTTTGTTCACATTATAGGTGCTAGAATGACCATTTGATAATTTGCATGCCAAAACTACATTCAGCTATTGAATTAGTTAAGTGCTGCTTCAAAACTGGCTTAAAAGTGATTTGATAGACACCCTTCCACAAATTAAAATGGGTGCAGAAAGTCTTAAATTCATAACATTATGGCATTAAATGTTGCATGCACTGCAAAAAATGACTATCTTGCTCAGTATGTTTGGTACATTTACTTTGATGCATTTACTTGAGATGCAAAATTAGGAATTGAGTCTGAAACTGAACAAAATTAAGTGATAGGGTATGAAAACTTGTTTTCCTTTTGAATTAAGTTGAGTTTTCTGAGCCATTTGGCAAATATTTGTTCTTGTTTTAATCACAAACTCACTTCATTTTGATACATTTCACAGAAAACAAGACTTCTTATCCTCTCATTTTACTTCTCAAGTAAATTTATCTTGATTCAAAAATCTTTTATACATTTGCACTGGAAAACGACACAATTACTGAGGACGGACATCAACTTGTGTGATCAGAGGGTACAGTAAAAGTTATTTCCATATTCTAGTTCTATTCAAAACTTAAGCTGTTTATTTTCGTAAAAGTAATTAAAAAGTACTGGAGATCTGTTGGAAACTATTTTCAAGCTTTGCTAATATAACTTCTTGTGTGCTGCTATGTTTTATTGTGTTACCTTTAATTTATTAATTAAGTTTTCTTTCCTTGGTCTAAAAAAGGTCTTTAAGAGTTAAATTTACTTTCATAAACCCTGCAGAAAATATAACCTTGCATTTTCTCAGAGGCATTGCATGAGGATGGACATCAACTTGTGTGATCAGAGGGTACAGTAAAAGTTATTTCCATATTCTAGTTCTATTCAAACCTTAAGCTGTTTATTATAAAATTATAAAAATAATTAAAAAGTACTGGAGATCTGTTGGAAACTATTTTCAAACTTTGCTAATATAACTTCTTGTGTGCTGCTATGTTTTATTGTGTTACCTTTAATTTATTAATTAAGTTTTCTTTCCTTGGTCTAAAAAAGGTCTTTAAGAGTTAAATTTACTTTCATAAACCCTGCAGAAAATATAACCTTGCATTTTCTCAGAGGCATTGCATTAATTGAAAGGTCATGTTCTCATTGTTAAGAGCTATACTCAGTGCATCCATGTTCTGCAGACTCTAACTTTAGTCTGTACGTTTCTAGAATAGAGTAGTCGTGAACAGATGCGAGCACGCTTTCCCTGTGTGGGTGCTGAGGCGTGTAGGTTGTGTGGCAAACCTAACAATGGCAGATGCCTTTGGATTTTCACAGAGCGTGAGTCACTATGTGGTTGAGTTTACCAGCGCTCAATCTTAACACCCTTTTATGCTGCCGCCACACACACACACACACACACACACACACACATTAGCTTAACATAAAGGAAGAAAGGATGAGTTGAATGGAAGCGGGAAGTGTTAGGACGCCTACTGTAATTGCATGTCTGGGAGGAAGAACATGGTGAGATTCAAAAGTCAGTCATTTTACCGGTCTCAGGTTGTTACTCTGTTTTATCAATGTTAAAGGTCAAAGAGGTGTTTTGTAATTGTTCATTCATAGACACCACCACACTGCTTGGATGGCAGTAGTACTGTAAAATACTGTACTGTGCATGCACATTATGGCCAACAAATGCTTTCCCAGTGAGGCAAGAACAGAATCTGTTATTATATCATATTTAAAAAAAACATTGGAATGACATACTACCATATTATTTAAGCATATAGTGCACAGTGTGCATTTTTACTGCTTGCTGTATACTGTGTGGTATACGAGGAATACTGAATAATATTTGATCAAATAGAATGAAATTGTACATATGCAACAATTAAAGGAACACTCCACTATTTTTGAAAATAGGCTCATTTTCCAACTCCCCTAGAGTTAAACAGTTGAGTTTTACCGTTTTCGAATCCATTCAGCCGATCTCCGGGTCTGGCGGTAGCACTTTTAGCTGTAGCTTAGCATAGATCATTGAATCTGATTAGACCGTTAGCATCTCGCTCAAAAATGACCAAAGAGTTTCTATATTTGTTCTATTTAAAACTTGACTCTTCTGTAGTTACATCGTGTACTAAGACAGACGGAAAATGAAAAGTTGCGATTTTCTAGGCCGATATGGCTAGGAACTATACTCTCATTCCGGCGTAATAATCAAGGAACTTTGCTACCGTACCATGGGTGCAGCAGGCGCAATGCAATGATATTACACAGCGCCTGAAAATAGTCCCCAGCACGCTCCCTGCGCAAGCAGGTAGTCACGTTGGTTATGTTGACGGAAGTTAGCCTATTTTCAGGCACTGTGTAATATCATTGCGCCTGCTGCATCTCCGGTACAAAATTGTTAATTAGCATTTTAAATACAATTTTTGTGTCAATGTGTCTTTGGTAGCATCATTTAATAAGAAGTCTAAAAAATAAATGTCAGGTATTGCAGCTGATATAAGTTTTGGTTCATTTGTCATACTGGGAATGGAAGGTCAAGTTGAAAGCATTGTATTAGTGCAGTGTATACTGCACATTTTGGGAAACATAGATAACCTGCATAAAGAAAATTCACATGTTCATATAGTGCAAAAATATCAACATGCAGTTTTTCACGTCACAAGATGTTGATTGGTGGACTGGAGTAATGTGGATTATTGTGATGTTTTTATCAGCTGTTTGGACTCTCATTCTGACGGCACCCATTCACTGCAGAGGATCCATTGGTGAGCAAGTGACGTAATATTCAATTTCTCCAAATTTGTTCTGATCAGGAAACAAACTCATCTACATCTTGGATGACCTGAGGGTGAGTAGCATTTCAGTATATTTTTGTATTTAGGTGAACTATTCCTTAAATTATGCCATTGTGGATCATTTTAAGACCAAACGATCACTGCGCAGGGAAGAACAAGCATTTATGCATTTTTTTGTCTCAAAGCATGACTATGAATTATTCACTGTTTTGAATTATAATGTTCATAGTGCAGTAAATGTAAAGTGCTACACTTAATAGTAAGTATGTATGCTAAAGTAAGGTAGCATGCCTGATTAAAAATTCAGAAAAATCATATTTATTTACAAGATGAAAATGGCTGCCATTTACTGAATTAAACATACAGTGCCTCGCGAAGTCATGTGGCAACAATAGTAGCATGCTACTGTTTGAAACATTTATCATGTTATTGCATGCTGCTTCACATACTATTTTTAAGAAATAGTAGGTGCTATACAGTATAGCTACACCATGTTCCATTTTCAACATACCCAATGTCTTTATTTTTTTATGACTGTATGTAATGTCATCATCTTTTGTTCTCTGTTTATTGTAAGTAAACAGCATGTCTAAGCATGTAGATGGTTTTGACCGTAAGCCCAGGCCAGAGAGATACTGACAGCTAGAGTTAAAAGCTATGAGTCATGCAGCACGCGACCATTAGAGTGATGTCATGTCCTGAGTTTAGAGCCTGCAGATATGACCTACTCTCACATCACACTATCCAGAGCACTTCACACCTAGAATACAGAATCAGATCACGTAGAGCTTTGACTTAATCGTTTAAATGCTAAATGCTTTACAGCTACAAATGTTGCCTAATGGATCGTAACATTTGGACAAGTGGATTGAATGTCAGAACTGCAGAAGGAAAGTAGTGTTCCAATGACTCAAAAATAAATTGTACTTTTATTGCAACATAAATTGACTTGATATTTATTAAACAACACTTGTCCTAAGAATATTGTTGACCTTGATATATGCCACTGTGGACAGTTTTGAGGCCAAAATACAACATCACTACTAGGAAATAGACAAGCATTTGTGCATTTTTGAGTCAAAACAAAGCATGACTATGAATAATTCACTGTTTTGCTCTGTATTATTCAAGAGGGGTGTGCCAGAATGAGCTCATCACAATATGTTCTAATATAATTCAACTAGAACACCTTAATATTCCTCTTAAGCAAAGTGTGCCCATCAGTCATTCTGCCACAAAGTATCACACACTCAAGCAATTAGACTGATGTGTTACTGATGTCAGAAAATTGAACTGCAGCTTTGCTTTATTGTGTATTTTGTATGAAGCACAGTACGTAATGAGATTGAAAAATGAAACGGCTTAATATAGCAGAAAAGAATTTGAAATAATTATCAGTATTGTTTGTTTTATATAATAAGTGCTGTTTGCTAAACTTAGCATCCCTATTCCTTTATTCCCATGTACATTTATTTATTTGTTCCCGGGCGGTCAAATATGGTCAAAAATTACAGGCTTGTTAAAAATTGCTTGCTTATCACCAAATCTTGAATTCGTTATTTTTGTCAACTTGTTTTCGGAACTTTCTTTTTTTTCTGAGTGATCATAGGCCTCATTATGCACCTCAACTTTTGAGCGAAAACTGCATTATTTGTGGATAATTTTGGCAAATGTCAGCTCAAAAACTATGATCAATCATTTTTTTATATATATATTTTATATATAGGAGCACCACATAAGTAACAAGGTGGAGAAAAAATCCCAAAAAGTTAACCAAAAAAATATCAGCATTTCTTATACCCATTTTCTGGAAGAGAAAATCATCTCTAGAACACAACACGAGGGATATATATTTATAATATAATAGCACATTTTAATTTGCACGTTTTAGCAACAGTCCTGTTCACCCTAGCAACTAACATCATCATAAAAACTATTTAGAACACGTTCTTAAATATTTATGTGAGAACATATTTATGCTAAGCAAAAAAAAAAATGGGTATGGTTTGTTTGTATGCATGATTAGCTTCATCATCATCATCATCACTGCCTGTCAGGTCAGATGTGAACTGGAAACTGCATCATTCTGACTTGAGAATCCAGCGCACCGCTCCTGATTGGCTGGAAATGACATCATAGCAGGGTTACCAGTGATGATCAGGCTTTCCTTGCAGGCAGATTGTTTTCCTTCACTACATCCCCCACCCTTGTCTTCTCAGTCCCTCGTTGTCACTCAGCAAAGGATTGTGGTGCACCTTTTGCGAGCAATTCCCAGTATATGTTCTTTTTTGTCCTTCGTGTCTCTGTTAATCGGTTCCAGGACCTCGTTTGCTGCATTCTTTGCTCTGTTGCCATGTGAAAAACCCTGTATGCGTGCACACGACTCTCCACCTAACAGACAGCTGGATGACATCATCGCTAGAGCACTGCTGTCTCCCCTCCCCCTGCGGCCCCCTTCAGTAATCACATCCAGCATATACGCAACCCAATGCTCACCTCCAGTTTATATGGGTGGGTGATCCTTTCTTGCACAAATGATGTGCTTATATATCATTTCATTGTATTATTAACTGCAAAAATGTTTTTTATGCAATCTTTTGTTTTGCATTTACCCATGTGCATCGAGTTTCTTTGTTCTATTCACTAAAGAAAGACATTACATCTCGGTTGGCGATATATGGCAGGTAATTTATTTTCGTTTGGTAGGGTAAGTACCTGACTTCGGTGTTCTTGTTGCTACTGGGAAATAAAGTAGGTACAGTGTGTTCTGTTCCGCCATATTCAACATCCATATCAAACCGCTGGGAATATTTCCACCTCACCTGAGAGACCTCGAAACTGCAAACAGGTTCATATAAGCGCCTTGGATGCTGAAATCATCAAAGAGTAGCCTGCACATTACTGGCCACATTCACACAGCAGCAGAATATTGCTGTCAGTCTTGCATTTGAGTCATTAAAGAGATAGGCTTTTTTCCCCCCAAATTAAAATGTTATCATCATTTACTCACCCTCATGTTGTTCCAAACCTGTATGATTTTCTTTCTCTGTTGATCAAAAAAAAGAAGACATTTTGAAGAATGTAGGTAAACTGTTGCTGATAGCCATTGGCTTCCATAGAATGAGGGGGAAAATATGGAAGTCAATGGCTACCACACTCAGAAAAACAAAATGTACAAAAGCTGTCACTGTGACAGTAGATTTTGTACCTTATTTACACCGAAAGGGTGCATTTTAGTCCCTTAAAGGTACATAACCTATTTGTACCTACGTACAGTGTAGGCCTACATTAGTACCTAAATGGTACAAAGGGTAACGCCCCAGTGTCAGATATTATACTGTTGTGTGTGTGTGTGTGTGTGTGTGTGTGTGTGTGTGTGTGTGTGTAAAACTGGTTTTTGATATCCTTCATATTCTGTGAGCGGGTCAGTTCACAGCAGTGATTGAAATTAATTTGTTCCAATAAGTTTAAATAGATTTTTACATTTTATGGGTATTTTCACCTTTATACAACCTTTTATTTCTAAAAGTGTGCATCATCTTTTGAGTAAAATTATTACATCAATCCCAAACACTGACAGTGTGAATTTATCGTTTTACAAATCCCATTTTTACACAAAAATGTCAATAAATACATCTAGAAACCATTAATTTCTGAAGTTAGAGATGCTACATGCATATTACAATTTTGGTTGTAAATCAGGTTTTTCTACATAAAAGAAACGCAATGTTCTACAAGCTGTGTTTGAAATTGTAAAAACACCAGTAATTGATTTGGCACAGGACCAGAGCAACAGATGGGCCATTGACAGACTGTTCAAACAGGCCCGGTCTTGCCCAAATCCAAACGAGCATGCTGGCAAGGTTACTGTGTCATAGTCATCATCAAGACTCCAGCCATGAGTGAGTGAGAAGATGACACATAAATCCCTGTCCTCCTCCGTTTTTAGACATGACATTTCGAACAGCTCCCAAAACCAGACAGAACTGGTTTAGCACACGATGCTGCACGTAATTAAATTCTAAACTGAAATAAACTAAAAAAGGAATGCATGGATTCCAAGTCTTTATTTGCTAAAAAATTACATATATTAAAGTAAATTAAAGTAATCTCTGTGCTATTTTTGATAGCTCCAATAGCCATGTTTCCATAAACAATATTAAACCAAAAAATAAAAATTCTTCTTGTATTACTCAATATTTATTAATTACTCAATATTTTTGCCATATTTAAAAATTAAGAAGAAATACTGTTTCTTCTGCATAAAGCTGCAGAATCTATGCCCTTTCTTTCTCTGAAACCAGCTTTCAACAAAGCGTTAACCACCCCCTATCTGCACTCCCAGCCGTTCCAGCCCATCAGAAGCCTGCATCCCTCTCGACCAATCACAGCGCTGGGAGGTGATGTCATGCTTTATCTAGCAGAGGTGGTGCTGATGCTGCCAGGTTGAGCATCCAAACAGCAGCAGACTGTCAGACTGAACGTGAGGGTAAGACTCTGACAGAAGATCACATAACTCTGTCGGTGAGTTATCATAATTTGTTATTTACTGTATTATTCTTTTGCAGGACAAAAGGAGACTGGTAATCTGTTGGACTAAAGTTTTATTCACTATAGCAAGTTCCATGAATTCTATTTTTGTTCTGGTGTTAATAGCGCAGAAATCTAGTTTGGCATTCCTTAGATTATGTTGCAGTGCAGATTTGCATGCTTGCAAGATTTAGAGCATGCAGTCGAGGTTATTAGACTTATATATATGCATAAATGCATATATAAGCATGAGTTTTTGGGGGGAGATTTGCGACAGAATCAATTTAGAAATTAAAATAGTGGTCTCATGATATTGTGAAAAGATGTGCATTGCATAGTACAGAGTACATTATAGTCGTGCAAGGTGAAAAATAGCTATGCAGAAAAAGTGCATTGCTAGTTTTAAAAAGGGGATGTAGGGCAAAGTGTGTTTTTGAATACACAGAGGTCCTGCAGTGAGTGTGCTAGTCTGCACTGTGGGTGGCACTGAGAGGTGAGATTATACAGTATGTTAGTGTGCAAAAGGCCACGGCCCCTTCATAGAGCGGCACTTCCTTTGCTTTTAAACCAACAAGCGTTTATTCCGATCAAAAGGCAGTGGGAGGTTGAGAAAATGACTTGCTTTGCAAGAGCTGCAAACAAATGCATGTGAAATTTTTATTTGTTTAAGGTAGACAACAGTGCTGTTGAGTTGTGTTCCAAAGCATGTATAATTTATTATATCAGCTGTGTTGCTGGCATCAATAAATCAGGAGGATTTTTTAATTTGTGTGCATGCAGTGTGACAAGAAATATGATGCACATTGTCCTATAATGGCCTACAGAATCAACATGTTTGCCCTTTATGCTATCAATTGACCCCTAAAAGTGTTGAAATGTTTTATAGAATAAACCCATGCACTGAATATGTCAGAAAGTTTCAAAGGTGTTACAGGTGCAGCGATCGTGAGCGTGGGAAATGAGGGGGCACAGCGAGGGCAGAGGCAGGATGAGCGAGAGAGACTAATAGAGAAGGCGCGTAGGCTGAGAGACGATCATAAACCCTGAGCAAACCAGATTCATTCATGCTGTCTTTTGCGAACGATTGCCATCAAGTATATTACCATTGAATGTAATTGTTCCTTGCTTTGTTATGTGGATTAAAATAGATTTTATATAGTATGCATACTAGTATGTGCTTAGATGTAGCTGTGTGGTTCTCTTACACTGCAAACAAAACATTTTCTTCAGTATTTTTTTTAAATATCTAACCAGTAGCTAAAATATGTAAATTATTAAGTATTCTGAGAATATATATAATTTTTTAATTTTTAATAATTTTTTATTATTATTATTATTATTAACTTTATTATTATATTATTATTATTTCTCTTATTTTTTTTAGGCATGAACCACTTTTTTTTTAATTATGCTTAAAACAAAAACTTGATGCAAACTGATTAATCTGATGGAATTTTGCTTCTCAGTTTCAAAGAGTTTTTTTTTTAGGAAGACCATACTGATTATAAAAATTATTTTTTTGCAGTATGAAGGTTTGATTTTGGGCTTGTTATTTTGTAATCTTTGCTTGTGGGACCTTTATGTGAGGACAAAGACTTATCCAGAGGAATCGATTGACTGTGGTTTCTGATTACATCATCGTTTTTCTCTCCTGCAGGATCAGTTGAGATTGAAACGCCTCGGAGGACTCAGAAAAAGGAAAGATGACTCTTGCAGGTACGTGTACATCCACCTGCTTGTTCACATGTGTACTTGGGAGTGTTTAATGGAGCTGAAGGAATGATGTGTGAGCACATGGCATCAGTGATGATGTTACCTCAAAATAACTCTGTCACTCTCTTGCAGCATACAGAGAGAAGATGAAGGAGCTCCCTCTAGTGTCTCTCTTCTGCTCCTGTATCCTACCAGAGCCTCGGGAAAAGCCCACCAAGAAAACACAAGGTACCTTAAAGGCACCTCAAATCTAAAATCTTTCAGATAGATTTTCCTGTTTTTACATGGTCAAGTGAACCTACAGTAAATGGAACATATTGTAATTACGTCTGTTCTCAATCAATCAATCAGTTGCATGAATAAATATCAATCAAATCAGTCATTGTTGATCTTCTGTTTTAGATGTTGTGGACCTCAACCTGTGCATTATTAAAGACATGGAGGTGATTGAGCTAAACAAGCGGTCATCGGGCCAGGCCTTTGAGGTCATCCTCAGACCTCCATCTTTTGACGGTCAGAGGGAATTCCATCCCACTTTCCCACCTCGCAGTGACCCCTCGCTGGAGGAGATCCAGAAGAAACTGGATGCAGCTGAGGAGAGAAGAAAAGTGAGGAACAGTGATGTTTTTTGTGGAGGATACTCTCAATATCAATTAGTTAGTTGATGTCAGTAATCAGACATGTCTAATTATTATTGCTTTCACTTGCATATCTATAACTGAGATATAGTTTGGCTTGCTAATTTGAATTTAAATAGATGCAAGACAACTTCAGATAGATGTTTAAAAGCTGATATGCTCAGTGTTTTTATTATAAATTATAAATATTATATTGTAAATAATATAGTATTATTTATGGTCTTATGATATTTTGCATTAGCTATATTTTTATAATTGAAGTTTTAATTTGAATTTAATTTTAAATTTGAGTCATTTTTGTACTTTTATATACACACATATATATATATATATATATATATGTGTGTGTGTGTGTGTGTGTGTGTGTGTGTGTGTGTGTGTGTGTGTGTGTGTGTGTGTGTGTGTGTGTGTGTGTGTGTGTGTGTGCAGCCTTGAGTTGTTCATTTTTATTTCTAATTTTCTCTTATTTGTCTAATATATATATATATATTTTTTTTTTTTTTTTTCAAATAATAATAATGATTTTTTTTATATAGTTTGAGTTTTAGTTAACAATAACAAAAGATAATAAATATGATTCTATCTGAGTCTCATGCTGAGTTACATAGAATCTTATGCATTATCTCCACAGTGTCAGGAAACTGAACTTCTGAAGCACTTGGCTGAAAAGAGAGAACATGAACGAGAGGTGGCCCAGAAAGCCATAGAGGAACACAACAACTTCATCAAGATGGCCAAAGAAAAGCTGGAGCAAAGAATGGAGATTAACAAAGAGAACAGGGAGGCCCACATCGCTGCCATGCTGGAACGTCTTCAAGAGAAGGTACGGTGCATCTTTACATCCTAACCCAGTTCCATTTTTAAAGCTGCAGTATTACTACTGCACCACTAATGGCACAAAAGGGAATTGCAATCTGCTCAGCTGATGACATGAGTTTAGGGTGAGACCATCTGAATGTCACTTTTTTGGAAATAGGCATCAGTTTTGCAATTCCATTTGGTGCCACTAGGTAGACTTTTTTAAAGGCACTTTAAAGTTGAGATTGAGCTATTATTTAATAGTTCTTCTTTTTGTCTTGTGTTTTTTCCAGGACAAGCATGCTGAGGAGGTGAGGAAAAACAAGGAGCAGGTGGAACTGGATTGCCAGTAGAATGACATGAATCAATAGCATTTCTTGTCCAGAATTTTCAAGAAAAAACAACAAAATAAGGCCTAGCAGGTCCTAGTCATGCTAAGAAAGGCTGTGTTTTGGAATTGGCAAAGATTCAAAGGCCTCACATATGATATTTGCAGCTAAAGAAACAATATTCTTGTGTCTGCTGCCACGCAAAAATGCCGTGTATCATGGATGTGGAATTGGGAATTAATTTGAGATTTGTTTGCCGCCAAACTGTGTCATCATCCATCTCTTTAGTCTTTAGTATATAATAGCTTTGCATGTACTGATGGGATAAAGATAATGAACGACAAGTCAGATGAAAACTACCAAGATGTGAATTTGTGTTGTACTGCTGTGAATTATCTGTTTGTAACATTGTTTGTGCATTCAAAGAGGTGATGTGTACTTATTACTGTAGTCTGGCTTTGTATTATTGTGTCTTAGTGTTGGTTTGTTGTAGTTGAGGAATCATTAGTAGAATATTTGTTAGTTACCTGACAAATAGTGTATTAAATGTGGCCGAAATCAACCGTTTTAATGCTTGCATGCCATGATGCACTTGATAAAACTTGTGAAAAGCCATTTGGTGTGTGACCGTGTGGTTTTTGTCCTGTTATTAATTGCTATATCTTTGAACTTTATGTTCCAGGTGCCTTGAGATCTTCTCACAACACATGCTGATCATATGGGAGACCATTGACCAAAGGACTGACTATCACGCTGAGCTTTTTAGCTTGGATCATAAGAGATTATGACTCAGATTATGATATCACTATATCATTGTAAGGTACGATGGCCATGTTGTCAGATGAACGGAACTGGCTGGCCAGCAAAGATTGTGATGGAATCTTTACTACCTTAATCTGACAAAACGCAGAGATGTGTTTGTCTCTGCGATGAGCTTGTATGCCAATAGTGCCAAAAATGAGTGAATGTGAGTGGTACATTTTTTTGTGTTTATAAGTATCTGGATGACGTTTGGATGGTTTCATGTACTTTGCCAATGTGGATGCAGTTTGTCCTCTGTCCTGTCTTTAAGGCTCTATTTTTGGTAAACTGCTCAAGCTTTTGCCGCTGTACATATGTTCACTTGCCTCATGATCAGCTGGTGTCTGATTTGGCTATATTCTGTACAGAAATTGTGATATATTTTAGAAGCAGAGGGAATTAAAGGACTGCTGATATAGTTTTGTCCTTGTGACTTCCTCATTATGGATTTTGAGTTTTTTGGGGTTTTTTTTTAAGACCATCAGAACAATATTTGTAATTTTTTTCTCATTTATTGCATCAGTCATATCCTTAAAAACACATTTGGATCAATAAATAAAAAGTTAATACGAAATATTTAAATAAAAACATTTTTTAAAAATCCAGTGAAAATAAACAACATACATTTGAAAGCACATGTATAATGACATTTATAAATTAGATTATTAGATGGATCAAGTCGAAGGGTTGAACTCATTATCCAAATATCAGGCAGTATGATGATGATGGATCCAATATAATTAATAGATAAAATATCATGAAAATAAATAAATATCCCACATTTTGCGAACATGTATATGATACTTGAAATTATAAAGTCATAAGTCTTAAGCCTTATGTTCTGGATTTGTAATACTGTAACACTAATGATCAAACATCTACAGTATTGTAACTCCATCAGCTCCCACATTTTAAACATGCTGTACATATGGACGAACGCAGGTGCATCCCACTGCGATGGTTTTGTACTCAAGTCTCAAGGAATAGTTGTGCTTATCTCCTCGAATTTTCCTCAAGACCATGATTTGGGTGTAAATAGGTTTGGACTGGTAATCCTGGTCCTCAGTGCCATCTATCAGACATCCAGTCAGTGAACACTTCGCCACTGCGATGTTAGAAGGGTACAGGCTCTCGTCATGCATAAACCTATGAAACAAAATTAATCATGTGAAGTTTTAGGTTTGCATGTTGCAACAGTCACGTTCTAATTCTAAAAACAACAAAGAAGCGCATGTGAATCTGATACAGAAATGACGGTTCATGATCATAACTCTTACAAATAAAAGTTCCAAAAGGGGGTTTCGCAGTGATGCCATAGAAGAACAATTTCAGGTTTAGCAAAGAACCTTTTTAGTGAACAGTTCTTAAAAGAACCATTTTTTCTTAGTGTGAAGAACATTTGAATAATCTAACGAACCAATGGAAAGGTTTCGTGGATGTCAAAGGTTCTTCATGGAACCATAGATGCCAATAAAGAATCTTTATTTTTAAGCGTATATACTAAGGTCTTACGTGTAGGTCCATGGAGAGATGGAGTCGTTGTTTATTGGAAGGTTCGGGTTGGCCGGGGATTTGAACTCAGGATCCAAGATCAACCGGTATGATGATGATGGATCCAATTCTTCTGATGACCTGTGGTTTCCTTTCTTCGGAAGATGTTTTGAAGGTGCCCCCTCAGCTCCAAATGATATTAAAACAAGCCCCATCATACAAGCCACCTGTCATTTCAGATTCAATTGTATTAGCATTGCGACTTTGGCAACAAAAATCCTTAGGAGATATTAGCATGCCGTCTTCGAACATTTCAGCAATACTCACCATGAGGAACTGGATGGTAAGCGCTGATGACATTGCATTCATTTGACCTGTTTTTTTCTGATGTCTTCTGTCAGTCTTAAGTCTCGCTGCTCTACATTTGCAGTGGCAAGTGCAGTTTATATAGAGAGGCCTGTTCGTGCACTTCCTTCCTGTGATGAATTCTCCCCATTGATGGTATTTTATGTTGTCATATTCAATGTGTCAGCAAAATCACTTGAGTGTATTGTGTCACTGCAATCAAATATCACACTATGTTATTTCCTTTTGACAAATTTGTTTTAAACAATGCATTTAAGCGATATGATGCACTTATACTTAACATTTTTATCCAAAAATATACAATGTTTACTTTCATTGTATAAGATATAAATGTTTCTTCTGCAGATTTTCAGAAGACTTCACCACCCTATGAAAGCTTGTTTCCACCACGTGATAAAATAATAAAAAGCTCTTTTTTCATCCCACAATTCTGACTGTTCTTCTTGCAATTCCGATTTTATATTTTGTAATTCTGAGAAAAAAAGTCAGAATTGTCAGATGTAAACTTACAATTCTGATAAAAAATCAGAATTATGAGATATAAACAGAATCGAGATATAATCTCACAATTCTACGGACGTTTGTTTCCGCAACGGCATGACAAATAAAAAAAGTAATTGCAACTTTTTTCTCACAATTTTTTATTTACATCTCACAATTCTCACAACTTTGCTTCTCAGAATTGAGTCTTCTTCAGACTTTTCTTCCCAGAAGAGTTTATATCTCACAGTTCATAACTTTGTCATATCTCACAATTCAATTCAGTTCTGACAATTACGAGGAAAAGAGTCTAAATTGTGAGACAAAAAGTCATAATTAGCATTTTTATTGATTGATTGATTGATTGATTGTCCCATGGGTGAAACGGCCTTCCACACTTTTCACAGCCATTTATTTATTTATTGGCTATTAAATTTAACCAACTGAACCCAAAGTGATTTTTAGTGGATGTGTGAAGTCATTGATGTCATTTGGACACATTCCACTAACGTTTTACAACCAAAAAGCATCCAATTACTTTTTGAATTTATTTTTAACTATGGTTCTTTTAGTAAAATATTTAGTAAGTCTTTTTATTTCACATAAATGCCATTTGGTTTAATATTTTATTATCTAATGCAAGGAAATTCATACATTTTGTGTTTTTGAAGTGTCTAGATACATTTTGTGCCCACATATTATTGTGTTTATTTCACCTTAGCATAGCAACCATTATATCCTAACATAACCTACTTTCACTGACAGCCGTCCCATATGCACTCAGATCAGAAGGAATATATTAGTATATGATGAATTAAATTCTTGCTGGTTGTGATTCTGTCCACTATATGTCAGCTCCCACGTTGCCTTCTGTTAATGCCAGCAACCTCGATTGACATAGTTTGCAAAAAGTCATATCGACATGGAGACTTCCGCCCCAGTGTCTGTAATGGCTTGCATCTGACGGGTGCACAGTTTCCCACCGGTGCTGGTTTACGACTGCGTCAGTTGCAGAGCAATTGCGGTCTTACCCTCTCCTACTCTGAAATTTCTAAGGATTGTGGGGAAAGGGCAGGGGCACATTTTCATGACTCAGAATTGAGGGCGATGCACATGCAAATGACAGTAATACCATAAAAGTAATCCCCCAAAACAGTATGACAGCTTTAAATGCATGCATTTCAAAAGTGTTCTTGTTGTGAAGATCAATAAACGATATTCTTTGTTGTAAACCTTTAAGCAATATATACTTTGTTTTATGATTTAAAAATACTTAACGGGACAGTTCACCCAAATATGAAAATTCTGTCATGTTGTTTCAAAACTGTTTTACTTTATACATATTTTGAAGAAAATTGTGATCTGAACAATATTGGACCCCATTGACATTCATTGTATAGACAAAAAATATGTTCCACAAAAGGAAAAAAAAACATACAGGTTTGAATCAACATGACAGAATTTTCATTTTGGATAAAATCATGAAATGATTCATTATTTTAGACCATTAAACCCTGAAGGTTCCCAAAACCTGTTTAAAATGTGACGCAGGCCTCTGACCTACTTCTTGGAGTTTCAAAGAAGGTCCTGAAATCTTAGATCGCCTTTTTACTTAATCATGAAAAGAATTTCAGTTACTCAACGTCCAGGAACAGGGGCTTTTGTAGTGACCTACATAAGACCACAAATTTGGAGAATCTTTAAAAAAACTGAAATCTCTAACCTAAATTTCCACGCTACATATTAGTTATGTCATTTTCGCAATTTCATCACATGTGAGATTATTTCTAAATCCCACTCTGGATTTTTACTACTGAAGGCATATTATGAATCATATTATAATCTTTATTTTTATTTTTTTGAGTTACAAAACCAGCACTGCTATTATTTATGATGGATATTTCATTTAAAACTGCCAACTGATTAATCACAAACTTGGGAGAACCTTCAAGTTTCATATTTTTTTGAATTAGGCAATGATGAAGTTCAACTCAAATGCATAAGCAGCTCTAAGGCTTTTTTCCCCCCAAGCAATTAGTAATATTCTTATTTCGTCACAGTGGTCATGCTAATGGTTTTCTTTTGGCCACTCAGTAAGTGGAAATCAAATCATGTATTTTATTGTGGTGAAATTACACAATACAGGGCCGACTGATATGTCACAAAAGATCTTTGCTATATTTTCCTTTCATCAAAAGCAGAATGGTAAAATGAGGTCGGATTTGCTGAGTAGCTTCCGCTCTCTGTGTAAATGGTTTGTCATCAGTCAATTTGAAAGCAAGTAAAAAAAAACCTACACAGAGAGGATTCCCGCACTGGGAGCCGCCACATCAAAGAAAGGCATAACGGTGACATAACACTGGGTTAAGCCACAGGGCAACCATGAAAAAAACTGCCCATTAATAGACGTCACACAATCATACTGATTAATTGTCAACTTTGCAAAAT